CAAAAAAATATCCTCTTGTATTGTAAAATAATTCAATTTTATACCTTAAAATATATAAAATTATTATTAAATTATATATGTAATTCAATATAATTGTGCTCTTTATGCCATTGCATAATTATAAATAGTTTCAAATAAAATATTTGTATAATGTAGAATTTATTATAACAATTAAAATTTAATCATATTCAATATTATCAAATGAAATGAAGATTAATAATTTATAAATTTCATTTAATGCATGAAATAAAAAAAATTATTCTAATACTTTTGATTAGTTAATAGTTGAATAATTGTAAACTTGAACTTTTGATGATAGTAAATTATGCAATATTTGTAATATTTGTAAAAGTAAAATTGAATAATAAAATTGTAATATTTGTAAAATAAAAATATTGTAAACTATCAATTGATGCAAAATTATGATTCCTAGAACTTACTATTTAAATAACAGTGCAGATTTCTTATAAAATGGAAAAAGGTAAATTAATATTATTTTGAAGATTTATTTAAGAAACGTTTATCTTTACACGAACAATGAATACTTGACTGATTGAAATATCTTACGTAATTTTCATACAACCAGAGTTCTAATATGATAAACACTACATTGAACATACTGTTCCTACAAAAAAAGTGCCTTATTCTCTAATGTACATTTCACTATGTATTGTATCAATAATGATAAGGATGATGAATATAATAGAATTGTAATGAGAAACTAAACATTTTCGATCTTATTCAATCTTAAAAGTACTTTTAGAAGAATTAACAATTGTCTTTTATCACGATTATTTAACTTCCGATTTTAGGTTTCTTTTTATAAGTATTCTTACTCTGTAAAATGTAAAATGACGAAAAATGAAATTAAGAAATTAGCAATTATAATTGATAATTTTTGAGAAATAATATATAGTCTATTTTTGTATAATAATACCAAAAGACGAAAACTATCTATATCAAAAACAGTTGAACCAATTCTTGTATCAATTTTCCAGAAATCTGAATTTTAAATACATGTTATAAAGGATGATCATGTCATAACTCATACATTATTATGGAGTACAACATAATATGTAGTTTGGAATGAAAATGTTTCATCCATGATTGTTACGAATGATAATAATAGTAATAAATGGTATGTATGGGAGTTACATATTGTTTAAGCACGCTCGCCACGAATTCGTCGGGCCAACTGGATATCCTTGGGCATGATTGTAACACGTTTCGCGTGAATAGCGCACAAATTTGTGTCTTCAAATAAACCAACCAAATATGCTTCTGAAGCTTCTTGTAAAGCTCCAATTGCAGCACTTTGGAAACGAAGATCAGTTTTAAAATCCTGTGCAATTTCACGAACCAATCTTTGAAAAGGTAATTTCCTGATTAACAATTCTGTTGATTTTTGATATCTTCTGATTTCTCGAAGAGCTACTGTACCAGGTCTAAAAATGACATTTTATTTTGCATATATTATATACTAAATAGTATTTATTATTACTATTATATATTATTTAAAATCTACCTATATCGATGTGGTTTTTTCACACCACCAGTAGATGGTGCACTCTTACGTGCTGCCTTTGTGGCTAGTTGTTTACGAGGTGCTTTACCTCCAGTTGATTTACGAGCTGTCTGCTTAGTACGTGCCATTATTCACTCTGAAATAATATAAATTTGATTAAATTCTCTTAAAATTTAAATTTTAAAAAAGCATATTTTTTTATAATTAAATTAAATTAAAAAATTATAATACGATATGAATATATGTGTAAAAAAATATGTGTAAACAAATTTCTCAATTTTATTCATCACAAAAATGATCTCTAAGAAAAAACAAACGCGGGAAAAATTATTTTAAAAGGTATACTTGATAACTAGAGTAAACTAAATTCTGGAGTGGGAAGAAAAGAATGGTGGGGTAATGAAAGTGGGGGTATGTTCCGTTGCTGTTCGTGCAAAGGAAGCGCGCACCAAAGAACGCTGCGCATTGCGCAATGCACAAACTTTCTTGCACCGACGCGAATAAAACCATGCTAATAAGAAAAATGTATCATCCTAACTAGCAAGAATTTCTTTATCTTCTAATTATCCCACTGATAAATAGGAAACATAGTTTATCAAATGAGATTAAACGAATGACACTCGCCATGAAACAAATCGAAAGCGTCACTTCCGAGAAAGGATCATGAAGCGATTCCCTCCACGAACGTCAATTGCAAAATGGAGGCAATACGATAGTACGTCGCGTTCGAACATGAAAACTCGAATTTTCCAACACTTTTCACATTCATTAATACACGTTGTATTGTCCATATATTTGCTGATACTAGTAATCACACATGATCGTAAATGAAATGCAATTTTGATAAATTTACATACCACTTAAAGAAAAAATTCTACGAGAAGCAAGAGCTAGCACTATCCGTTTCCTTGTACTTCGATGGCAGTGGACGCTCTCCCAAGTCACGACTCCCTTGTCCCTACCCCCTAGAAATTAAATCGTGAGAGGCACGTAAGCCCGCGGTGCAGTGCATCCAATCGGAGGTCGGATAGCAGTTGAGTTTCAGAATGTAGCACATGCGATTGGCTCAACCTCCTACGCCTAGATTGCGAACCAAGAAGGACCCTGTCAATTGTAATATACATGATACTTCTCGGCAACCTCGTTTTACTTGTATCGTTATAATTGCTATCCTATTGTTTTTCAAATTAATGAAATTGATAGATTTTATTATAAAAAACATTTATTATAAAAATCATAGCATATCAAAAAGAATTTCTTCAATGATCAATAATCAAATCTGTGTTAAAATTTATTTATCTGCATACATTTTTCATGACTTTTATCATATAATTCTATCTGCAATGAAATCGGTTATTTGGTGGAAACCTCCAGAAAAGTATGCAATTTCTATAAAACATGATGGATACGTCATTTCGATAATTATTAAAATAGCAATTTTTATTTGTTATTTAGAATGAATACATTTTTGATTAAATTTAAATAATTATTCTCAGAATTAAAGTTTTATCTATATTTTCTACTCAGAAAAAAATAAACGCCATTATACATCTAAATGTAAATAATATTATGTATTGATGTTAAATTAGTAAAATTATTGAATTTTGGCGCTTTTGTCAATTGAATTTTATAACGGAAATAGTACAGTACTAAACAAAATTAATTTAATAACTAATTAATTTCTAATTTCAGAAAACATTTTAATAATTAATTAAATATTTTTATTTTAGTAAAAAAGTGTATAAATTATGTAAAAACATGTATACAAATTTATATCAATCATCAATCATCATCAATGATTTAAGTTAATGAATTTTTAATAATTTATTTTTGTTTATCATTATATATTTATAAAATACATGTCATATTTATGTTTACATAAGAAGATAATAAAATATTAATATGATTTTAAAATATATTATTTAAATTGGTGATGTAATCTTTATAATTACTATTTAAATTAATTATAATTACTGTATCAATAGTATGTATATCAAAAAGCTTATTAAAAATGAAAGATTATTAAAATTCATTAAAAATATTAACTTAAAATTATGTTAAGAAAAATAAAAATTAAAGAAAATAAAAATGTAAAAATTTTATGAAATAAAAAATTTTATTTTGAAGAAAAGTACATTTTTAATAATCTATATTACTTATCAAAATTTAAGTAAAATTATTTCTTTAAAGAATAAACTTAATTATTTAGTACTATAAAAAAATTTGGTACTATATTTTAATAAATATAAAAAAAAAATATATAAAATATAATAAAATATATTAAATAAAATATACTCATTTTTTTGGGAAGATAATTCAAGTTAAATTTATTAAAAAATTTGTATAGATCATTTACATTGATTTAGAGTTATGAATTATTTTTTTATTATTAATATTTATACTAACATAATGATAAGCTAATTAACAATGAAATATATTTTTATGCTTAATGGCATATTAATTTCATTTATAAATATAAGTATATATATATAAATCAATTTTGATAATTTAATAATACAAATACAATTAACTATATTTTCACATTTAATTGAATAATAGAAATATT